GCTCGCCCATTTTCTCCCTACTACCTTCCCCAGCTGCCCCATCCCCCCTGGCTTTCCCTCTCCCCACTACCCCCCACTACCCCCCACAGCTTCCCCTCGTCCATCTCTCCCTGGCTCCCTCCTCCCCGCCCTCATTCCCTCCCTCTCCCCATCTGGACGCCCCCCCCACCGCTTCCCCTCCTTTTCTGCCCTTTCTGCCTCTGGAGTGGCCAGGTGGGTCCTGGGGCAGGTTCATAGTCCCCATCCCCAGGCCCTGGGGTGGGTCGCGGGAGCCCCTTGGCCCAGGACATGAAGGCCCTGCCCCATTAACCCTCCGTCTCTGTGGCCCGGTAGGTTGAACAAGTTGTGGATCTGCATGGAGTTCTGCGGGGCCGGATCTCTGCAGGACATTTACCACGGTAAGGTGGCACCGGGCGGGCACCGCGCCACACCCTCATGGGACAGGCAAACCGCTCCCCGTGCGCCCCCAGCGCAGCGCTGGTGGGAGAACTGGGCCCCGAAGCCTCATCCCCTGCCCAGCCAGGCCGCAGGAAGCCCCGTGCCCATCAATAGCCCCGTCTGCGCCCTGCCAGCATCCTGCCGGCGAGAACAGTACAATTACCCCTGTTGCACAGAAGGGGAAACTGAGGCACAGAAATGGGACAGGTCTTACCCAGCTCCCACAGTGAGTCATGGCAGACTTAGGAATAGAACCCAGGAGTCCTGACTCCCAGCCCCCCTGGTCGAACTGTCACGGAGTCCCCGGGCGATGCTCTGGAACTGCTCCCCACAAAGCCAGTCAGGACTTTGGGGAGCCTCCTCTCCCTCGGAGCAGACTGTCTTCAGGGCAAGAAGCTCACACGGCTTCACCTTCCTGGGTCTGACCTTGGAGCATTCAGCATATGCCCCTCCGTGCGCTTCCCACAGCGAGTCCGCCCCGGCGGGGTTCCTGGGGAAGCCAGAGGGTCCTGCACCCCCACTTCGCAGTCAGACGTGACTCTCAGCCAGCCGGTAACACAGAGGTTTATTAGATGATAGGAACAGGGTCTAAAACAGAGCTTGTAGGTACAGCGAACGGGACCCCTCAGCCGGGTCCATTCTGGGGCCCAGTGAGCCAGACACCCCCGTCTGCCCTCACTCCCCGTCCCCAGCCAGCCCCAAACTGAAACCCCCTCCAGCCCCTCCCTTTCTGGCCTTTGTCTCTTTCCCAGGCCAGGAGGTCACCTCATCTCTTTGTTCACCTTTAGCTATTTCCTTGCTGGGGGGGAAGGGCCCCAGCCATTTGTTGCCAGGATACAGGGTGACGGCCATTTATGCAAACTGGAGACTTAAGAAACGAATAGGGGAAACTGAGGCACCCACACAGTATTCAGAGGAAACATTAAGAACAGTCCCACTTCGTCACACTAACCCGTTAGACCCCACTCCCCTCCCAGAGCCAGTGATAGGCCAGCAGTCCTGCCTCCCCAACGCCCAGCCCTGTGCTCTAACCCCTGAACCCTGCCTGTGCTCTCAGGTGAACGGCTGCTCTCAAAGCCTGCGGCTTGTGCTCTGGGCCGCGTGGAAAAGGAAGTGAGCCCCGCGCTGTGGCAGCAGCCTCCTGTGCGGGGGTCACCAGCTGCTCCAAAATGCAGAACCAAAAGCAGCTGAGATTGCTGCTGTGCCTGGCGGGAGGGGCAACGCCATGGTCTGTGCAGCGCCCGGCGCGACGGGGCCCCGATCTCGGGCGGGGTCTGTGCAGCGCCCGGCGCGACGGGGCCCCGATCTCGGTCGGGGTCTGTGCAGCGCCCGGCGCGACGGGGCCCCAGTCTCGGTCGGGGTCTGTGCAGCGCCCGGCGCGACGGGGCCCCAATCTCGGTCGGGGTCTGTGCAGCGCCCGGCGCGACGGGGCCCCAGTCTCGGTCGGGGACTGTGCAGCGCCCGGCGCGACGGGGCCCCAGTCTCGGTTGGGGTCTGGGCAGCGCCCGGCGCGACGGGGCCCCAATCTCGGTCGGGGTCTGTGCAGCGCCCGGCGCAACGGGGCCCTGATCTCGGCTGGGGTCTGGGCAGTGCCCGGCGCGACGAGGCCCCGATCTCGGTTGAGGTCTGGGCGGCGCCCGGTGCGACGGGGCCCCAATCTCGGCTGGGGTCTGGGCAGCGCCTGGCGCGAGGGGGCCCTGATCTCGGTCGGGGTCTGGGCAGCGCCTGGCGCGACGGGGCCCTGATCTCGGCCGGGGTCTGGGCAGCGCCTGGCCCCACGGGGCCCTGATCTCGGTCGGGGTCTGTGCAGCGTTCAGTGTGATGATGGGCTTTAGTGGGGCGCTACCATACTACACCTAATAATAAACCACATCCATTTTCCATTACAGTCACTGGCCCCCTGTCAGAGCAGCAAATCGCCTACGTGTGCAGAGAAACGTTGCAGGTGAGTGCGGGAAGCCCCCTCACGCTGGCCTCAACCCTGGGGCAGCTCAGCTTTCCGGGGGCGTCTCAGAGGCCTTCCCACGGGGTGGCCTCCGCTGGGATTCGAACATTAACCCTGTCTTTAACCATCTAACAACAGTGACTGAATGGAGGCCTGGCGGGGGCCACTCAGGCCGGGCTAAACACCCTGGAGCTAAACACCCCATTCTCATTTGTGCTTTTAGGGTCTGTCTTATCTTCACAGCCAAGGCAAGATCCACAGAGACATCAAGGTAAGGAGGGCAGAGGGGGCTGGGGCTGGGGCTGGCTCACGGTCTCTGGGATGGAGACAGGAGAAAGCAGGGGCCGGAGGAGGACTGGCTGGGTCCGCTGGCCGGAAGGATGGATTTGGGGGAGGTCGATAGACGCTGCAGCGCTGGGGTAGCCGTGTCGGTCCCAGGATATGAGAGAGGCAAGGCTGGGCAGTCAGTGCCTTGTATTGGACCAGCGGCTGTTGGCGAGAGAGCCGTGGCTGTGGCTGGGTGAAGTGGCAGAGATGCAGGGGCTCACTTGGCGATACCAAGAGATGGGCATCAACGAGTCGCAACCGAAGGAGCCGAGCGTGGGCCAGGGGCGGCTCCGGGCAGCCCTTTCCTTACGGATCTAGAGCGTGGTTTGTCCCGCCGCCCGGCCTGGGAGTGCCAGACCTCCCACGGATGAAAATCCACCGGGAGCGTGGGGGGGAACCAGGCTGTGGGGACGTGCTCGGCTTCGCCTACGCCCAGCGTTTCAAACCAAATAAATAGGAAACTGGAGCCCTTCTGGGTTATTCATGGGGGGGACGCCCCCCCCCCCGCAGCAGGGAGGGCTGAGCCCAGAGTGAAACTGACTATAAACAGAAAGTGAAATTGACCTGGCAGACTCCCACGCTGGAGAGACAGGTGCAAAAAAGAGCATCAGCTAAAGACAAGACCTGGGATCGCTCAAATTCTGTCCCTTCAGTGCCCCCGGGAGCTTGGATTAAAACCAATATACTGATAATGTAGGTCGTAGCGTGTTACCACATGTCTCCGGGGCTGGGACGTGTTGCTGTAGCGTGTTACCACATGTCACTGGGGCTGGGGCGTGTTGCTGTAGCATGTTACCACATGTCACTGGGGCTGGAGCGTGTGGCCGTAGCATGTTAGCATGTAAACAGGGCTGAGGCGTGTGGCAATAGCGTGTTACTGCATGTCACTGGGGCTGGAGCATGTGGCAATAGCGTGTTACTGCACATCACTGGGGCTGAGGCGTGTGGCCGTAGCATGTTAGCATGTAAACAGGGCTGAGGCGTGTGGCGATAGCGTGTTACTGCACGTCACTGGGGTTGGAGCGTGTGGCCGTAGCGTGTTACTGCACATCACTGGGGCTGAGGCGTGTGGCTGTAGCATGTTACTGCATATCACTGGGGCTGAGGCGTGTGGCCGTAGCATGTTAGCATGTAAACAGGGCTGAGGCGTGTGGCGATAGCGTGTTACTGCACATCACTGGGGCTGAGGCATGTGGCCGTAGCATGTTAGCATGTAAACAGGGCTGAGGCGTGTGGCGATAGCATGTTACTGCACGTCACTGGGGCTGAGGCGTGTGGCCGTAGCATGTTAGCATGTAAACAGGGCTGAGGCGTGTGGCGATAGCGTGTTACTGCACATCACTGGGGTTGGAGCGTGTGGCCGTAGCGTGTTACTGCACATCACTGGGGCTGAGGTGTGTGGCCATAGCTTGTTAGTGCACATCACTGGGGCTGAGGCGTGTGGCCGTAGCGTGTTACTGCACGTCACTGGGGCTGAGGCGTGTGGCCGTAGCGTGTTACTGCACGTCACTGGGGCTGAGGCGTGTGGCCGTAGCATGTTAGCATGTAAACAGGGCGGAGGCGTGTGGCGATAGCGTGTTACTGCACATCACTGGTCCCGGGGCGTGTGGCCGTAGCGTGTTCCCAGCACTGAGCTGGGTCCGGCTGTGATTTGCCCCCCGGGGGCATTCAGCAAGGCGAGGGTGTCCGGCCCCCCTGGAAATCGGAGCCTGGCCGAGTCTGACCCAGTCAGCGCCGAACCTGCCTCCTCCAAGGGGGTTAAACCATTTCTGCAGCCCCTGGGGACCTTCCCCATGCGCGGCCCCAGCCTCTGCCCACGGCCCCAGCCCCCTTCAGCCTCCTCTGCTCCTTCCCACACAGGGAGCCAACATCCTCATCAACGACAATGGAGAAGTGAAACTCGGTGAGTGTCGGTCCCAGCTTGGCCCTACCGGCTCTTCCCCGGGGCGGGAGGCCTCTGGGGCGTGGCTGTGGGGCAGGTGGGAGATCTATGGGGCATGGTTAGGGGCAGTTGGGGGGGATGCAGGTGGGTTGCGCTGGGGTATGGGGCTGAGGGTCCCGGGGGTGTCTGGGGGTGCGTTGGAACAGGCTGATGGGAGCGGGGTGGGGGGCAGGGGCTGGGTTTGGGGGGGGCAGTGTCCGATACCCACCCAAGGCCAATCGAAGCTTTTCCTTTCCTCCCCCCAGCGGATTTTGGGATCTCGGCCCAGATCAGCGCCACCTTCGCCCGCAGGATGTCCTTCATCGGCACCCCCTACTGGTACCGGCGCGGCTCAGCCCCGGCCTGGGGGGGGCGGGGGGCTCACGGTGCCGCCCAGGGGCCGATCTCCGGCCGTGTGTGTCTGCCACGCCAGAGTGACGGGCACGGATTGTCGGGGGGGGGGGGGCGAGGGTGTGTGTCCTAGTTGTGTGTGTGTGTCCCATGTGTGTGTGTGTGTGTGTATCACAGGGTGTGTGTCCCAGGTGTGTGTGTGTGTGCGTCCCATGTGTGTGTGTGTGTATCACAGGGTGTGTCCCAGGTGTGTGTGTGTGTATCCCAGGTGTGTGTGTGTGTGTGTGTGTGTATCACAGGGTGTGTGTGTCCCAGGTGTGTGTGTGTGTGGGGCATGGTGTGTCCCCCAGGTGTGTGTGTACCTCCCAGGTGTGTGTGTGGGTGTGTGTAACACAGGGTGTGTGTCCCAGGTGTGTGTGGGGGGGCATGGTGTGTGTCCGTGTCCCAGAGGTGTGTGTGTGTGTGTCCCAGGTGTGTGTGTGTGTGTATCACAGAGTGTGTGTCCCAGGTGTGTGTGTGTGTGTGTGTGTGTGAGGGCACAGTGTGTGTGTCCCAGGTGCATGTGCAGGGCCACAGGGTGTGTGTCCTAGGTGTGTGTGTGTGGGGAGGGGCACAGTGTGTGTGTCCCAAGTGTGTGTGTGTGGTGGGGCACAGTGTGTGTGTGTGTGTGTGTGTGTGTGTGTGTGTGTGTGTGT